CTTAACTGATTGCTTTTTGCAACGGCAAAAGTAAATAACCCAGTCCTCCTTTTCATTGTAGACAAGCCATGATCTGCTTATCTGTTCTCCATTTTTCATTTGGATGAAATAATAGCTGCATGAGCCATGACAGCAGACAAGATAGAGGAGAGCAGGAGGCGGGGTTACCAATCTACTCGCTCTGGAGAGCAGAGTTCGGTGCTTTTAGATGTTGTCTTCAAACAGAGCATTTAAGTAAAAAGGATTTTTATCAAAAACATAATGTGCACAAATAAGTAATAGTTGAATTAACCATAAATGTAAAAGGAGTTTTATGGGCTCCCCGGGAACTTGGGGCCCTAGGCAACTGCCTAGTTCTGCCTAATGGTAAATCCGCCCATGCTGCTAGCTTGCCCTGCCTGTCCAGGGTGGACCCTTCCTCTCGCCCATAGACAGCTGGAGATAGACACCAGCACCCCTCTTGATCAAATCAAATCAAATGGATGGATAGAAAAAGAGCTTTCATTTAAACAAAATACATATGTTTGTTTGTATATAATGATCATCGCTACATTTGGAGGCGCTAAGCATGATAACAACATCAAAAGTGATGTACGGAGGTGGCAGCATCATGTTGAGTGGGTGTTTTTATGAGAGAAGCAGAGAAGCGGTTTTCAAACAGAGGCAGAAACATTCAACAAATTAAGGTTTTCGAATTAAAGAAAATAGTTCTTGTTTTAGAGAAACAGCTCTTACTCCGGTTTGATGTCACCGTGGATCCGAAGGGGTCCGATCTGCGTGACAGGGGACGTGTTTCTGCCTTGCTTCTCAAGTGTCCTAAAAAAACACAAACCTGAACTGTAAAAACTTTCATTTGTTGGGTTTTTCATATTTAATGTTTCAGTGTAATCTATCTAAACTTTATGCTTTGCTTGAGGCTTGAGAGCTGGATTCTTCTGATACAATTTAATAGGACATACAATGAATAAGTTACCTAAAATATCTGGTTGCCTAGCAACCTAGCAAACCTGAGTCTCCTATTTCTACAACATGATGGGCGTTTCTCAATATGCGTTCTTGAGCGTTCTCGTGTGCTCGTGTACTCGTGACAC